GCTGTGATCTCACTAACAGTGATAGCTGTCCTGCTGTTACTACATCATGTCTCCATCCATTGACCAGGCTGCTGCCCGTAAATAGGCTTACAGGTCTATTCTGAGGCAGGGAAATGACGGGAATCAGTCTCCTGAACCCAATCCTTCCCAACAGTAAGCCAGATTTGGGTTTAAGGTGAGAGGGTCTGCAGCGGCATGACCTACGTAGTGCTGAACAAAGTCTGGTTCCACCCGTCAGGTGGATAGGGAAGGTTAATAAATATGTCCAAAGGGTCAGGAAAGGGTCAATAGTTGGGAGACTAACCTCTGTACACAAAGCCTCCTGATGAAGGTAAACTTAAAGGGCCAATATTATGTGTTTCTCAGGCATATATTTCAATTCTATACCATAATAAAGTAACTATGTCACCTTCAGTTGACATTAAAATGCTTTTTATATGTATAAATCAAAAATAAACTCTGTCACTCCCATTTCTGCACATCATCATAACAGCTTCATGCTGTTAACAACCTGGAGCATTGTAATAATAATAAAAAAGCAGCAACATTATACATCGGCTTTGGAAAATTGCAACTCTGGATACAACTGAACCTTACTGTTGGACTGGAAAATGGGCAGACGATCATGTTTGTGCACTTTTGAGTGTTAAAATTGCATCGTTTTTTTAAGTGATAATCTCATTATTAGTCCACTCTTAAATTCCCTTTTGTTCAGAAAGCCTTTATCCATAAAGTGGCTCGCACACATGAATAAAAATAAATAAATAAATAAATAAATTTGTCAGAGGGTTACTTCCAACAATGAAGTCAAACTATTTCTTAAGAACCGCGTCATCCTTGGCATCTGAAAATGCATTTCCTCAAACGCATTTTGTAATCTGAAAAGGACTGAACTGAGAAGTCTTACGAGCTCAGCAGACGCACACGTGTGGTTTCACCAGGTATTTGTGTGCTAGTTGTTGCTGCCAATAGCCTGCAGGAGTTGTGGGGGAGGTGTGCTCTGTGATGTGGAAGCTTAGAGACACAGTCCAGAGGAGGAGCTGCTCCTAAAAAGAGGTTCTAGTCCTAACCGGTCATATTTTCTCTCCTGCCTGGCTGCCTCAGGACACTACAGGATTTCTCAAACATGCATGACTGAGTCAAAGCAAGACTGTGGGCATGTTGTTGATGAGAGGATAACATTATAACATGATATAAAACTCAAAAAAGTCGAGTTTACAGGCTATTGCCCCTTTAAAAACACATCCATGAGTCTTAAGGCCATGAATCTACGTTGAAGAGATGGAATTGAAAAAACAGGAAGCTTCTTTTTGGCGTGTACCTAATGTCATTCTAACAAATTGATCAAATATACAACTTTTATTAGCAATTAATACATAAAAATGTTTCATAAGGTGGCATAAGTTGTCTTCTGTGACAGGGCCTTTTGTTTGGATTTTACTGCAGCCAGCCATGACTTAATGTGCTAACGTTAGGCAGTTTGAACTGTTACAATATCTTCTTTACTAATTTCAACTCTTTATTGTAAATTTTAAAAAACAATTAGATTCCTTGTTGCAAATTCAATCTACATTAATCCTTTTTCTGAATAATAAGATGAATCTTCAGAGAAGACAGAAGGCACAGGTGACTTACATATAGCCTGAGAGGTAGCGAGAGACATATTCCACCAAAACGGTGTGGGGCAATGTTTTAACAAGATTTTGCCCTCTCTCCTGACTGTTTAAAAATGTGATCAAGAGTCAATTATTTTTCTTTTTTTTATTCACATATTAAATTCGTGAACATCTGCCATGCATTCATACACAATAACAAAAGCTTAAATGAATCAATTACATCCACAGAAAGTTTTAATGTTGCCATGAAATCACGTAAATAAAAGCTCTGCTGCTATCCCATTAAAAGATTTTAAATGTTTTCAGTCTGCAGGGCGAATAACGTTGAGATATTGTCAATGTCCAAAAAATATTGGTATAGTTTTCATTAGTGGAAAGACTGCTTGGAACCATGTTTAAGATAGATTTAATTTGCTTGGATTAGAACTACATCCTAATGCAATATACTCAAATAATTGTCTCTTACAATGATTTATTGTGGTGTCTCTCTGAGCTACTGAAATGATGAAACAAGAATTATTGATCCTTCTAATTGGAGAACTAAGTAACAATATTGTTGCCATCTACAAAAAGCTGAATATTTTGGTTCAAGTGGAATACTAATAAAAATAAAACCCTGGTCTCTCAGGTGAAAGGCAGGAATGCTCACTAACACACTATAGAGGATTCTGGGTAACAGGGCTGCACTGGTAGCCATGCATTTCCACCCCTCCAGTGGTCAGGCATGCAACCCGTCATGACTTCAATGGACCAAACCAAGGTCAGGCTAAAGGAAGAAGGGGGACAACCTAATTTTTTTACTTAATTTTAAACATATAAAATGGGTTATGTTTTCTTTTCTTTATATTATATAATAAAGGGGTAGATGTGATAACATTTTTTTCCTTCACTTTGCACCTTTTTCATTCAGGGAATGATTTACTTTGCTTTATATTGC